AACAGGTGACATCCCCTACGGTGACGCTGAAGACGAATGAGGGCTGATGCGCCTCTCCGTCCGCTCGCTCCATAACGTACACCGGCGGCCGACCTGTCTTAGCGCCGTACTCATGAAGCACCTGAATCGGGGTTTTATCAGCAGCGACATGCTGACCCGCCACAGCAGAGCTGGAAAGATGAAGAGGGAAAACAGACACGTTAGCTTAGCCAGCCTGCTAACACGACGTCCGGCAAACAACATACAGACTGAGAACGGTTAAAGTACTCGCTCAGTTTAGCGTCCTGTCAACAGGCTAGAACACCAAAACAACAACAGCAGTAACATTAATAATCCGTAGAGCTCTACATAACTGCAGATATCCGGTGACAACTGGGGTTCGTTTGGTCAACAGCATGCTAGCGAGCTAAGTAGCTAGCTTGTTTACTAATGTAAAGTTACTTTATGTACGTTACTTTTAGGTGATCCGTTTTTTTCTGGATGTTTTAATGATGAGCTACCTACAGTTGCGAGTTTCGTCACAAAGTTTAGACAAGTTCAGTTGCTTTTGCTGAAGTTAGTGAACGAGCCACGACGATGCTAGCAAACAAGCTAAAGACCGGTCTGGCAAATGTTTCGAAAACAGCGGTTGTCTGAAACCATAAGATGAGGTCGGTAAGATAAGTTTAATGATAAACGAATATCACAGCACATCAGGACTTGAGGTTTAACTTACTGAGATTCAGTCATTATTGAAGCAGATGTAACGTTACTCCCCTAGACTGTTTGCAGCATCCACAATAAGATACTCAGTGGAGCTGGGAGGCGGGTTGGGGTTTGTAACCAATTAGAGAGAGGACATTTTACTTGACATACAGTTTTACTAATAAGCTTCGAGCATTCAGCTTTCATCCCGCCTTTCTGTGCAGTAACCCAATCTCTTTTGTCAATTCACTCCCTCTTGTAGGTCGTCCTGTAGTTTTTATTATTTTTACCTGAGTTAGCGGTTATTGTGTGTTTTGCAGGTAGGAGGTGCTGCAAGATGTGCAGGAGCAGGTGAGGAAGCTGTCCGCTCTTATCATAGATGAATTCAGATCACTAACACAGCTACTGTACGGTCAGATAAGATACTCCTCTCCCTCTAAGTCTCCTCTCCCTCTAATGTCTGAAGGATGGTCTGCGGGTTCCTGAGGACCAGCTTGAGAACCACGGTCCTAAAGGACAAAGCTTTCAGGCGACGACCAGAAACGTCAGGGTGTGCATAAGACTGGACCATAGTTTCTCATGTGCACTTGAAAATATTTGGTGCTCACCTGAAAGGGTTAGGGTTTGATTGTTTCAGAAAGGTCCCATTAGGGCAGGAAAGGCGACTGAGGGGTGGACTCCAGCACAGTTTGGTGTTTTCCCTGCTTTGACACTCCAACTAAACCTGGCATTGAACTGATGAATTGAACCAGATACCTGGGAACAGGAAAATTACTAAGTCTCAGTACCTCAGTCTTTACCTCTTAAAGGGCTGATTTTCCAACATTATTTTGAAATAAAATTGGTGGGTGTAATAGGTAAACATTTCTAAAGTTTCAGATATTTACATTTTTTATATCTGCCACTCACTGTCCATACAATCCATTTATGGAAAATGAACTGCAAAAACGGCTTATTTCGAATAAACTATTTTTGTTTTTATGTCATTAAAACCAACACATTTACATACATACACCTACTCAGCCTGCAGTAGTTTAGCCTGTCCATTGATATTGATCTTATACAGAAAATATGGAGAGGCCTCGTTTAGTTGTTGTGCTTCTAAACTCTGGAACTCAGTTTCACCTTTTATTAGACAGTCACGCTCAGTGTTCATGTCTAAGAAGCATCTAAAAACATATCTCTTTAACTTAGCATTTAATTAAAACTCCATATCTCATGGTATTTATCTTTTAATTGGATCTGTGTCTTTTTTGTACATAATTCTAAATTAAAACTTGTTACTGTTTAACCCTTAGCACCTGTCTGTAAAGCACTTTGAGCTGCCACCAGCATGAAAAGTGCTATATAAATCAAATTATTATTAGTATTATAAGGAGTTAGCCTGGGCAATGTCATAAATGACAAAAAAGGAACAGAATACAATAGAAGTATTGCTTTATTCGTGTCTTTCCTCATAGTTGTAGAGGACAAGGCTGAAAGAAGCATGCAATAGCAGTAGCTTCCTTCCTTCCTTCCTTCCTTCCTTCCTTCCTTCTGTTCTTCCTTCCTTCCTTCTGTTCTTCCTTCCTTCCTTCCTTCCTTCCTTCCTTCCTTCCGGTTTAGAAATGCTCAGTTTCAAATAAAACTGAAGCAACTTTAAATCCACATTACAACAGAACTTTGAAGTTTCACTGTTGGAATAGTTACTACTAGCTGTGTAGGACAGTATGGTTTTCTGTGCTCTTTTTGTGGATGGCAGGGTTTCTGCCTGCACATACCAGTTACTGAAGTACCAGAGCATACGTTTCAGTCTCTAACAAAGATGTACGTATGGGCATTGCATGCCTTTAAAGAGAATTTAGCCCCCAAAAGCCTTGTCTGATTAACCTCCCAACTGCAGTTATTTAGTGGTGTTGCAGTTACAAACTGATGAATTGAAAACAATTGGATTTAGAATATTTGGACAGTTGGAACAAGCCAGGCTTTCTTCTCTTTAATCACAGCTCTGCCTGAAAAAGCCTGTGACATCCTTAATAGCTCCTTCACCTCGTGCAAGGTGACCAAAGTGTATTTACATTATAATAATGTAATAACTATATAATAACTCTGAAAGATTCTATTCAGTATGACCAACATTATGCATGTGTAAGTGAGCAAGCTGTAACATGTATGTTTGTGAGTTCATAAATACTAGGACAGTGTGCTGGATGAGATGGCTGAAGAAGAAGAGCCTGCATCCTGAATGAGTATGAGTGACTCAGTAAATCAAGCAGTATCTAAATCATGGGAACATTATTGCTGTTGTCTTTGGGTTTAAGTGACATAGATATAGTGAAACTGATGCAGTGAAACAAGTATTCTGTGATTTTATATGAACAGAGAGAGAGAGAAGCAAAGAGACGCTGTTTAGTCAGGACTTGCACAGCTCCCTGCCACTTTTAGAGTTCGGGTTGAGGCACAAATATGCTCGTGTAGTGTGCTTTACTTAAAGAGCCCATATCATGGAAAATTTAATTTTCCACACTTTTACAAATCAAAAGAGTTTGATATAGTCTGCAAACATAATAAACGTTTCAAAAACATATCATTCTCTCCTAAGTCCATACAGTCCATGAATGGAAGCTAAGTTGCAGGCTGTTCTAAATGCACTGTTTCTGTGATGTCAGGAAAACCAAAACATTTACATTTATGAACCTGTTTGGCCTACAGCAGGTAAGCCACACCCATAAACACTGAAGTTATAAGCACTGTTTCAGCCTGGCCTGGTTTTTGAATGAGGCACAATACAAGGCAGAAGGTCAGAATAGAGGTTATTTACATATATGAATCTTAAAGGCACAGTAACAACAACACTGTGTTTAATTTTAAGAGACAAAGAGGTTGGAAATGGTTCAGCAAAAATCAATTCAGAGTATTTTAGGCGCATAAAATCATGCAAATCTCATAAGTAGAACCCAAAGAAAAGAAATTTAGCATATGGATCCTTTAAAGCCCCATGCAGAAGTTGCTGCAACTAGTATGAAACATGTATATTTACCTTACTCTACTGGTAAATTGAGGGCAAATCCTTTGGCAGGAGTGTTTCTGCAGTTTCTATTTCTGCTTTTTTGTGATGAATAAGCTGCAAAATAAAAAAAAAGTGATTTTGGTTTGATTAGGATATGTGTATACATATCTGTGGTACCGTGCAAAGCTTGGAATATCAGTTGTAAGAGAAAAATATGACCTGTTGAGGAGCAGCTCCACATAGTGATTAGGATTTTTATCACTTTATGAAGCAATGCAGCAAAAACATTTGGGTGTCCCTGGTCAAATTGTGTTTTGTTGCTTTTTTGCCTGGTCAAATTGTGTTTTGTAGCTTTGTTGCTTTTTTGAAAGTGAAAATAAGTACACATCATAAATAAAAATACATTTCGCAGTAAAATTTGCTGAAACGTTCTCTGTAGAGGGTGTGTTAACTTATTTTCACTTAGAAAATCAACAAAAGATGTCATTTGACCAGGGTGTTTAAACATTTGCATGTGATTGTGTGATGCACTGTATGTTGATGTCATGTCACCATCTTCTAACTTTTTGTGCTTTTGTTTTTCATACATGATGCTGTTTTACATTGTGTGGAAATTTCATGAGTTTCATGACAAATGGAAAATAGACCAATAGAAATGGTCCAAAATTGGACCACCATTTTGGAGATGCAAGCTTTTGTTACAACAGCAATGATATATTAGAACCCTTATAACAGTGATTATGTTTCTCACTCTGTGACATACTGTGGTTGGATTTTGCTGTTTTTTAAATAGTCTGCCTCTCAAAGAAGGGGAAGGGTCTTTGACGTCATGCTCCTAGGCACATTGATGGCCTGGTTCAGGCATGCGGAGAAACAGTAAAAGTGTTCAATTAAGACTTGCACAGTCTTGCACTGTTGTTTTCCTTTATTTGCATTGCATTATGTAAAGCTCTATTCAGAAATTGCTGCACTTGTAGGCTAATTTGTTGTGCATTCAGCTACAGATATTTTCCAGTGACAATGAAGCCCCCACTAAATAAACTGTAAAATATAAAAGATATAAAGTGTATTTACCTTGCTTTCTTTTGGTAAAATACTCTCTGAAATAAACGTCTGTGTTGACTGAGTTGGAGTCACAAAACCTTTAATTCATGATCCGAGACTTTCTGACAGTAATTAAAAAAAAACTTAGTGGAATATAATAAAATGAGTGATTTTGGTTTAAATATTATTAGAAATATCTACAGTTCTGTTCAGAACTTCAAGAATCAGTTGTAATAGAAAGATATTCCCACTGTAGTGCTAAGAGCAGCTCAACATTGTGGTTCAGACACTTTTTTATTTTTAATCACAGTCATCACTTTATAATACAAAGCAGCAAATGCATTTGTTCCAACTTACAAATAAAGCTATCTGTAGCTTGGACAATTTAATTCAAACATTCATAACTTCCCACAGCATTTAGCATAAACATAACTGCAGTACCTGATAAGAAATAAGAAAACATCTCAGTTGCTGAAACATGTTTTATTGACACCAGTTATTGATCAGGCAATGATTAATGTACTTCAGGATTCAGTTAGTTCCAACCAGGAACTAACTGAATCCTGCAGGGTGTTTTACACTGCAACGACTGATTTTCCATCTTAAAATTGGAGTGTGAAAGTTAATCCAAATAACTGAAACTACAATAAAACATCGCCTGCACACAACTAAACAACTAAATCATGCAAGAAAATGTCTTACTTTCACAAATCATTTGCTATAAACCTTTAGTGAAATGAAGAAAATGTACAGTAAATCAATGTATGAATTACAACTACAAAGAAAAATAAAAAACAGAAACGAGCCAAAAGAAAATAAATGAGGAGATATAGACAATAAAGAGACATATTGCAAGACAAGCAAGTTAGATAACTTGACCAAGGGAAAAAACAAAACAGTATGCATGAAACAATAGTCCATGAGTTGATCCATATGAAAATAGTGGAATTATTTGGTAATTAAAATATATTTGTAAAATGTACTATTTATTTGTAAAAAAAACATTTTAAAATTGTTTGTAAAATACCTGTCATTTTACATGACTTACCCGTAAGCCTGTCATTTCTTTTAATGTTTTATACATTTAATATCATATCTGTTTAAGATTCACATTCAAGTCGGTAAACCCAAATGTGATTCACACAGTGTCAGGTATACAGAAGAAGGTTTTAAGTATGCAACATGTAATATTTGGAGATACTTACATGATTCTTATCTATCTACTAATGTATGTTTCAGAAAAGTATAGGTTTGTGTTGTGTACAAATGACAAAGGTCTTGTGTATTGCTGTGAGTAACAGTCTAGATGACATTCCTGTTAAAAGATGTTTAAGAGGGTGGAGAGCTGCTTGGACTAGGGAAGACAATTCTTTTTCTCAGTGTAAATTCTGGTTGTGGGATCTGCTTTTTTTGTCCAGTTTTGTCGGCCTTGCTGCTCACGTCATTGTTCACTTGAGTCAGAATGGACAGCAGATCAACCCCCCTACACACACACACACACACACACACAAACACACACACACAGGAGAAATACAAGGGGAAATTATATTTAAACAACAAATGTACCTGAAGTATTTTCTGGTTCAGTGTTCCCAAGCATTAAAACTTTCTGGTGAGAATTCTACTTTCCCCGCAAACATTCCACTACAGACAATAAATCTACACAACATTATGGGTGTTAGTCCAGAGCGTGTCACAGTGAATGGCAATTAGATTCACTTAACCCAGTTCCTGTGACATTATGCCATATCCAGATGTCTGTAAGGAATGATGGTTCTGAGTCTATAGAAATACAATTTCATGACAGTCTCCTACCCTTGAATGTGTTTTCTGTTTGTGTGATGTGTATTAATATATGTTATGTGTGTGTGTTGTCTTAACTTTGGCTAACTTTTTTAAAATCTTATTTTTCTTCTTTTTGATTCCGAGTTTGCAAGAAAATGTGTACTGTGAATTATAATAGAAATATATTCTATGCTATAGAAGTGTCTGTAATTGTAGGCATACTGAGCATTATAGTGCATATGTAACATTACAGTGCATTTTTTTCTGTTTTTTTTATGGATGTTGCACTTTGTGTGTACTGAAATTTCTGAAAATACTGAAAAGTACTCATTTGTGTAAACTATGCTTTCACCAGGCACTGTGGCCTTGTTTTGGCAGTTGGATTTACAATGATGATAGTATGTTAGCAATACACTCACATACATATAGACACATGAATCAGCATGCGCTCACCTTGGCACCAGCTGTTGCAGGTTCTTGCACAGTGACTGTATGAACCAAGTTCCCCTCGTTTTCTCTCTGTATGAGACAAAGCTTGGCACCGTGGACATGGCCAGGAGGAAGTCAGCCCCTGAGGGTATGGACTCTCTGGGCACGCGAGCATCACAGACGATGCCTGTCTCCATGCTGTCGTTAGGGCCGTCTGGCTGCAGGAAAATCACCTGCTGCTCGTTTGAACCCTGGCAGGCCTGGATGAAGAAGAGTTTGGGCTTGTCGCTGAGGGAGAAGCACTGATGGCCATACAGAGGATCCATCAGCTCCCTCAGCGCCACCTTCTTACCGTCCACCCCATACACGCCACCCTCATAGCCATGAGTCAGCACACAGCATGCCACACAGTCAGCCTGTTTGTGGTCACGACTGCACAGCTTCTTCAGCATCTCCAGCATACTTGCCCTACTGCAGTCACGCACCACCTCCGGAGTAAATCCCAGCCAACGGAACACATTCTTTAAATTTTCTGTGCACACACACACACAAAGAGAATTAACCCACCAAAGAACCTCTTCTGGCAAGCAGTTAATCTAGCTATATACTGATCAACCTTTTTTGCTGTGTTGCAACATGCTCCAGGTTACTTGAGGTTTGAGTTCAGATGTGTCAGGTGTGCTTACCTGCATCTATGTCTGTTCCCTCTCTGTTGCCTAATGATATGCAACTCTTTGAGAAGTCATAGTTGTTGATAATCAGGCAGAATCCTCTCCAATCTCCTTTCATAGCATATTCCTCCAGTTTCTACAACACAAGTGCATGAAGTTGTCATACCAGAGCAGACAGACAGAAACACACACTTAAGAATTAATGATAAGGAAATGGGAGTATATTACCAAAGTGCTTTGTTGGTTAGGGCCAGAACAGTTCTTTTCTTCAACTGTTGAGGTGATCTCCACATGGTGTGATTGCACTAAGAGCAAAACAGATATAGAAGCCCTCAGAAATTAGCAGAACAGGTATAAAGGCCAACAGGAATTACCTGATCATACATTGTTAGAGAGTGCTTAATAAGATGAGGAAGGGTTGTGGATGCATACCTTCATCAGAACTCTCACTGAGACTCAAGTTAGCCATCTGTCCCTCCACATTATCACCTGAACACCATAATACATAGTACACACAGCTAGCTAAGGTTCCACATCACATTACACATGAAAGAAAAGTCTGCTTTCTGGATATAGACTGACTTTGTTAGAGAATCCCCCTAACAATCAAGTTTTATAAATGGCAGTGCTAGCCCAGAGGGTTTAACCATTATGTGGCCCCAAAAAGTATTTGGACATTTGTGCCATACCTAAGTATTATCTCTGTCCAAAGAAAACAAGCATCTCCAAAACGATAACTTAAAGAAGAGGGCAAAAACATTCTGAACTTTTAATGTGAAGAGATTTTAGTCCAAGCAATTCTGGAGCATTTCTATTAGTCTATTCATCATTCATTTTCACACAGCACAAAAGACAGCTGGTGTACTCAAATAATGTAGAAAAATGAAAATCTAAAAAACGAAGATACTTGGGTTTTTTGGGACAGCAAAAATATACAAGTTCATCGTGTTAGGAATGTCAAACTAAGTGGCATTTATTTTAAAAATACCATACCAACACGAAGCAATTTTCTCTCGTATTGTTTCAGCAGTTTCTTTGCAGACTTCTGCAGGTTTGCATTTAAATGCCTTTGTAGGCTTCCGAGTTCATGATCCCATCAATGAACCACTGTAAGAAAAACAGCCCCAGACCCAGTGTTTCCAACGTCATGCTTTACAGTACCCTCAGTGCAGTGTAGCTGAAATTGTTCTCCAGGCTTTCTCCACTCAAACAGTACCATCATTTTGTTAAACATTGTATAAAGTAACTAAAAGAAGTTTACTAATGATTAGTTTGTTAGAGTGTCTAAATACTTTCTGGGGCTACTCTATATGACAGCCTCAGCTTTCATAATATTCACTTTTGCGACTTATTTCTCTATTAGCCATTTTCAGGTCTTCTACACCTCACCTGAGAAAGATAACAGTGAAGTTGGCATCTGCGGAAGAAACAAAATGATGTTACTGATCTGCAAAGGAAACTGCGAGTGATCTGATTTTTGCAGTATGGAGGAAGCGGATAGGGCAGAAACATCAACAAACCTCAGCAGACTGGGGGTGGGAAAAAAACGATGGGGGGTACAGCACTGGATTCTCCAAACCTAAAACAAAAAGTTTAATTCTGAAGCAATCACAGAATCGTAATACTCTTTAATATACTTATTATACTACACAATAACTGTACCTTGTTTGTGTACAGCAGACATTGTGTCCCCATTTTGAGGTATGGATTCAGGCTGGTAGGATTAAAAATTGCAAATGAAAATCAGATTAGGAACACAAAAGGAAATACTATTGAAGGAAATTAGCTTGGCATTGGGCATGGTGACCTTTGGCCCATATGCAGCTAAGGGACTTTTGGACATATAGTGTATCTTGGCCTGTCACAGGCAGAATGTCACCAAAAGAAGTCTGATGCATGATATAAGGATAAATATGTATAGCTGCTGAAGTGTGTAATACCTGAACTGGCGTTTTGGTTACAGAAAAGTCCTGAGATTCAGTTTTATTCTTCCACTTTGTCTCCTGAGCAGTGATGCCAGCATCTATGAAAAGAACAGACAAACATTTTGCTTGTAATTAAGCAAGAGTAATTGCGTATACTATAAAAATTGTAATTACATTGCTACAAACTGTGATTGCAATATATTAAAATGCATTGTGCGTTTATAATGTGACATGGAAAAAACTGACATAAAGACTTCTGTCTGATTGCATCAATACCTTCATTCAGAAACACTTGCCTAGAACAAGGTGTATGAAGATATTTTATCATTATCATGATAAATTATGTCACAATACAAGTTCTATCTTGTCTGTACCAACCTAACTTACTGAATGTCAGAAAAACGTAAATTGCAAATTGTGTATCGTAAAAATGTCTGAAAGTATTGTGATACAATATTTTTGCCATATCGCACACTACTACCTAGAACTATAAGATAGAATGATTAGATGTTTACATCACACAGTAAAAAAAGAAAACACACTGGCTGTGTCTGAAATTAAAGGCATCTGTCTTGACACCTTGCTGCCTGTGCTGTCTCCTAAGTCAGCTTTGTGATGAATGTACCTGCAATCAAGTGGCATTTAAGACAAGCTTTGAAGGCAGCTATACATCATGTTGTTGCCAAGCTACAACAGTTTACTGCAAATTGTTAGCATCATGAGGTTAGCATCTTTCACCCAGAAAAAAAAAGTCTTTTAAGAAGGCTAGCATGCTTAACCTCTAACCAAAACAAAAAGTATTGTATTTGTATGGTCAGTCTTCCCCATTTTGTCAGTGCTATTTTTTTCCTAACCACATCAGTGCTGATACAAAGGATTACGGGATACATATGGCAGCAAATGAACATATCTATGCTGCCTTCAAAAAACAACCAAACAGAGCAATTTCAACAGGCAGCATTTTATACAAACATTCAATTCTGACATGACTGGGTGCCTTTCTGCCTCAGAATACTGTATGACTAGTCAGCATTTATTATATTTCAGACACAGCCTATAAATGGGCTCATTTGCATTTTGCAGCCTTCTCTGATATCAGTATTTCAAAAGCCAAAATTCTGATAACAATTAACAAACTATATATTGCGCAGCCAAAATTTGGAACACCTTGACTAAACTCTGTTCGCTAATATTACACACCAAATAACAGAAGCGAATTAGGTCAGCACACATGCTGCTGGACAAAGTGAAGTATACATAGAAAATACACACTAAATTTGTACAACAGTCTGAAAAACATGAATTAGTACATTACTGTGTTACTCACCACTCTTCATTTTAAACTGTTTGATTCTTGCCTGTAAACGGGGATGGTTGCTGCCAATAACTCTTTCTATAGTGTCCAGATTATCAGCATCCAAAAGACCTGCTTTTTCCAAATCCAGAAACAACTGCAGCAATGTCTGTAAATGTTATCACAATAGCAAACATCACAACATTACCACTCATCTGAAATGGTCATTTTATACAGCACAGTGCAACAGTCTGAGATCACCCTTTATGTATTAAATATCCTGTAATTAAGGTCAGAGTTAGAGTCAATAGCTAGTGTGTCCACCCTTTGTATTTTTTTACAGCTTCTATTCTTTTTGGAAGACTTTAATTTTTTCGAAGAAATCTGCTCCAAAGTTTACTCTTAGAATTGGTTGTATTTTCTGCTTCTCACAATGTGAGTAATCCCAAACACATTCAGTGATGTTGAGGTCTGGACTGGGGTGGTCAGTCCATTGTTCTGAGAACACCAGCAAATTGTATGATTTGAATTTTTTGTTTGTTTTATCTCTCTAGCCAATAACAGCTTCTTGGCAGCTACACATACTTTCAAACCAAAAGCATTGAGTTTTCTTCTCATAGTGGAAGGATGGACAGGACAGACCTGTGGATTTTTTCAGATCTGAAACAACAGCTTGGTTTTCTCCTTTCTCTCAAAGATGAAAGCTTTAAATACTCATGATCTGATGATGACAGTTTTGGTGGTCTACCATGTTTTTAGTCTTGTATCTCCTCATAAATGAAAAAAGTTTATAACTTACTTAATGTTCATTGTGACTGGAAATCAAGAGTGGATCCGAATACAGTACAATTTTCAGATTGAGGGCTGTATGTGCACACTGGCCACACTCACCGTGTCTTTCTCCAGTATTCTCAGAGGTAGAGTCTCGCTCAACAAGAACTTAATGTTCTTTAGATCATTAGCTGAGGTGTTCTCTGCCAACTCATACAACAGCTCTCTATGAAAAAGGAGGGACTTTATAAAATCAAACATATCACTGCCTACTAAAGTTATTACAGAAAGAAACAAGCTAAAGAAAAAAAAACAACTTCGTCTTTGCGGAGGAGAGTAAAACCACAAATTTACACTCACATGCTAAGAATCATGATATTTAAAAGTATCTGCATCTTTGCATTTAAACAGGTGACAAACAGAGAAGCATTTCATCACTGACCTAACAAAACCTCAAATTTCCAAAACAGTAACTTTGTGGCAGAAGGAAAATGTGTTCTTAACTATAATCTATGTTAATGTAACAAAATCTTTATTCCAAGTAATTTTGGACCATTTCTATTGGTCCATTACCCCGGTTCACACAATGTAAAAGGCAACTGTTAAATAAAAAAAAAATGAAGTTACAAAGTCTTGATATGATGACAATATACAGCACACTTCCACTGACCTGTAAGGGGAGATGCGTCTGTTTAAAAGCTGTGCACCCAAGCGCAGCTCTTGGATAAGTTTTTTGCGTTTGATGATCCTCAGCAGCTCCGTGAGCAGAGAAGGGTCTTCTGAGGACAGCAGGTCCTCCTTCTGCAGCAGAAGAAACAGATCTGTGGCTGAGGTCACTGTGCTGAGGTCTTTCCTGAGCAGGTCAGCGCAAAGAAAGACCAGCTCCTGCACCTCAGCTTGACTGAGGGAATCCTGCACCTCCAGCAGCATCTTTGGGAACTCCAGTGTCTATAATCATGAGGAACAGGTGATGAGAAAGTGCCCAATTTGGAACTGACAAATTACCAGAGAAAAACACACATATATATATATATATATATATATATATATATATATATATATTTTAACTTCCCAAACTAAATTTACTTCAAATACAGGGGTTAGATTTCCCTCATTATTCAGAGCTAACAGACATTTTTCATGACCTTTTCTACGCATGTTGACCAAGTATACTAATAACTGTGGAGCTAAGCCACCTTTTTACAACAGTTCCTCCCTGCGACTTCGGAGGTCATAAGTACGACTTGGTTTGTGTTCACGTAGTGTTTGGGTTTCTTTCATTAAAGAGAGTCTGTGTATTTTGTGTTATTGCAACAGAGTGGAGAGCAGAAGATGCTTATGAGAGGAGCAGTGTTTTCATGGATGTGTTCCATAACGTGCTTATAAAATGGATAGTTCAGGTCCTAAAAACTGATTGAGCTGAGCTGTGTTCAAAGCCGTTGTAAAATCCACGATTTAAACTCTTAACTAGAACTAGGCTGATCAGCTAGTTAAGAGGCTAAAATATAGCTAACAACCTAAACCTGCCTAAACAACTCCATCATTAATATCACAGACATGAATTAAAGTACTTACGTTATGATTAACTGTAAAACGGCAGTATAAATGGCAGAATTTCACGCTTCAAATGTTCATGTTTCAGTCAGAAGTAACATTAGCATCAAACCCAGGCTGAATCCCAAACTGCTCCGTACTCCCTAAATAGACTGCTAGCTATGAAAGTTTAGAAATTCTAGCCTCTGCAGCCAAATAGCGCATCATTTATCGAGTATGGATGTGAGTCCAAATGACTATTAGCCATATTTTGCACCGTTGATGTGCAGGATTTAGTATTTAAATTCCTACGTAGTGCACTATGTAGGGAGCAGGGAGCCATTTGAGATTCAGCCCCAGCAGGGGAAGAGGGGTACTGTTGAATTGGTGCTAAATTAGCTTTGTGGTGGTAATGACCAAAACGTACTTGCATTAGCCAGTGCTGTGCTATTATGTGTTAATTGTTATACGACATAAAGTAAAAAAAATAATGTAGCTAATGGCTGCAGTATACAGTGATGGGCGACCTAACGCCTTCTCCTCATTCAGCAGTCCATGGTTACTTGTTTTTGTCGATTATTATTAATAATCAATTATTTTCTGACAAAATGTGTATTTTATCATGTTTTATGTTGGCCGCCGTTTTATAAAAGCAATAAGCCATTACAGGGAAGGGATAGAACACCCTTCCCGTGATAAAATCACAGTAACGTGCGGTCTTAAGTGGCTTATTGCTTAATTATACCTGTATTTCTATGTGTGGATGGTTTTAGCTTGCAGTGTTCAGGGTTGTGGCTGATGAATAACTTAAAATATAGCCAGTTTGTTAGCGGCTATCATTGCTTTTTTGTTGACACGCACCCAACTCGGGGCTCATTGAAAAATCAATTTCCCACTAGTAAATATACGACACTGTGGTGGCGTTCATGTGCATTCATCTCGTATATCCGATGTTTCCAACAGGACTTGAAGGCAGCATTAGTTATCCTGAGAAACAATGCTTTGTGAAATACCTCCATACACCGCGAATGAGGCCCAGGCGGCGCAGGAGAGTTGAGGGCTGTTGGGAGGAGGAAGTGTGAGGGCTCGGACAGGTAGGCAGTAGGTGAACGCTGGATGTCCGAGACACGGTATAATCAGCGGGGCACAGATGTCCAGCAAAACACAGGATAAAAAGTGAGTTTAAACCGCGATTCAAGAGAGTCCAAACCGAGATTTAAAAAGAAAGAAAAACAAAAACACCAACAAACAACTCTCAACAGTAGCTTGACGCCTCCTGAACAGTACACTGCCTCCACTTTCCACTGAACATGTAAACGTTGTCAGAAGCAGCCTAATTTACCTCCACCTTTAAATTCCCCTAAAAGCCCCTGTAACTCTGCCTGTTTAGCTAATGATGAGTCAGTACACAGTACTCACCCTGTCTCCCATGCTGGAAGGCGGCCTTTGCCAGCAGCGTCAGCTCAAAGCAGGAAGAAACTTATAGGTGTTTTTCATATTTAAGCCTAATGGTCAGGAATAGGCCGATCTGACCTGGCTCTCCAGAGTGACTGAGAACGAACCAGTTAAGTACAGCGATCTGCCTTAAAATCTACAAACGACGAGCTGCCTTTACGTTTAAGGCTGCAGAGTCACGCAGTGCGAGTTCTCGGTTTTATATGCTCAAAGTGAAAATGAAACTGTGACGGGAATTTCTTTTTGCGGCGCAGCGTCGTTTCAACAAGTCCTACACTTGTAGAAGATTCACTGTGCAAAAACACCCGGGCTGTTGAATTAAAAATGTATACAAATGGTGCTATACTGTTTGACTAGAGAGCGCTAGTTTGCTAAGACAAGGGAAAATAATGAAACTAACCAAAATCACCCCCTCTTACAAGAATAAATGAACTAGTCCGTTCTGTTTTCGCCTTACAGCGAGTCACGAGGGCTGCGTCCAAGACCGCATACTACCATTTCATAATAGTGGTTTAACAACAGCAGATTGTGATGTTATCTGAGCAAACTGCAGAATCTTTGAGGCATTTTCCCAAACGTTATAATGTTAGCAATTACTCTGACCCAGTTACACATCTTTGTAATGTCATGTGTATGAACTGTGTCAGTGATGGTACTGGAATGGAAGAGTAATTCTGGGATGACTACATTACCCTGACAAAACTTATTCATATCCAGGTAAAGAAGCAGCAGAAGCAGTTCAGGGGCCAGATTCATGGAAGCTTTCTTAAGAAAAAACTCACGAAGGTTCTTAAGACAAACACTAAGAAGGTAATAAGAATATTCTTGAATGCAATTCTTGAAAAATTCTCTTAAGATAGTCTTAATTATTTTTTTAAGAAAATCTTCATTGTTTTCTTATGTAAGCTACATTGCATTTACCCTGTACCATAAACAAGATACATTTTGAAATTGTATTAACCGTTAATTCTGTTATTTAGTTTAATCTGCTCAGAGGAGCAAAATAGAGGAAAACCATCAAACCAAGTGTTCAATAGAATTTAGCAAACAATAACTAGAGGTGATGGTGGAAGAAAGAGCCAAAAGGAAAAAAATCCTCATTGAAAATTATGATAATTGTGGGGTGATGGATGAGGATGGGCAGGAGTTGCAGACACTGTGTCCGTGATAAATTTAGCCACTGACCTTGTCAGCTCTTACTGCCTAAGGCAAGTGTGAGGCTATTGTGCGGTTGAGAAAACATTTAAGAACATATTTTCAAAAATACCACTTGTTCTTAGAATTATTCTTAAGAAAATGTTTAAGAAACAAAAATAAGAGAATTCTTAAGAAGTTATTTGAAGAATAACAATTTCTCTTTTTTTCTCAAGAATGTTAAGAAAAAACACACATTTAGAAAGATTTTCTTTCTTAAGACACTTTTGTGAATCCAGCCCTGATTTCTCTAGAATGAGGAAATTTTGTATAGGAGGCTTAATGGGATCCACTTGAATGTTTTTTGATTACATATCATTTTTATACTTTCATTCGCTATTTGGATTTTTTTGCTGTTTTATTAATAACCTGTACAGTTGTGTGACCAAATGACTAAAGTCACTTTCTTGTTTGATTGATTTGAAAAATGCACAAAAAATCACAGGTGGACATTAATGGGTTAAAACTCATTACGACATAATCAAACATAATCAAAACCCTTGATGCATTAAACAGACTTGGAATAAACAAGAAATGATGCAAATGATTTTATTAAACACAGAAAAGTAGACTTCAGGTAGAAAAGGTGGTTGCTCTGCAGTTTCTCTATGGTTAAAAACTTGAAATTTTCTTGGTGTCCCAGGGTTTTGGATGGGTGCCACGATGCAAGCTATGTGGTCCAACTTGCTGCACTTGGATTCGGAACCAGCCCCGAGAAAACTCCTTTAACTTTGAGAAATGGCTCTGTGACTCCTGCACAAAGGACTCTAGAGGGAAGATGCAGATAGAGAGTCAATGTAAACTACAGTAAAAGTGTAGATAAACTTCCAGCCAACATGTGTCATGACAAAAGTGATAATAACCCAACACATGGTACTATTTTTCATTGAAAATGACACAGACTGTCATTGTGCAAAATAGCCAAATGACATTAAAACATAACATTTATATTTGTAGCTATGTATACGGCTGCAGCAGTGGTGCAAGCACAAGTGTCTTTTGAGTTCTGTCTTGCATTCCAATGATTGAATTATACAGAATGTACAGTTAAATGTCAACAACAATAATAAAAATAAATCATAAATTTACAGTGTATTTAAATACTACAAAATCTAAATTACAACGTATTAAAAAGCCTTACGCCCCATTAAATAGTGGACTTTCTCAGTCTGTTTATTCTTGTACCTAAAGTGACAGCTCACTGAGGTTCCAGAGAAATCGGCCTGTTCTTTCCTCCGTACTAAGCATCATGGAGGGTGTGGTTAGGTTGAGGCATGTTCTCGAAACCTTGTCATTATTTTGATGGCCCCTTCCCAGCATTGTCAATGGTGGTTCGCTGTTTCTCTGTACAGCTCACAAGCAATACACTCCCATACACCAAACACGGTCTGATTATAGTGTTAAATATATCAACCAGATCTTCATCAGGAAGCTCATTTCTTGGCATGATTATGCGAAAATGCAGTCAGTCAGAGCATTTTTTTTCACTTCCTGCCTCAATATAAACATCCCACTAAGGTGGTCATCCAAATGGAAGTCTAAGTATTTTGTGTCCATTACAATATCCTGTCCACCAAGAATTAAAGGAGGAGGTATCTGAAAAGCATGTGTTCAACTGCACTGACTTCTTGCAATTGAGGACCATGTTGTTTCTCAAGTTGCCTTGCTTCTCTTTCCACTGAAATATCATATCACATCAAATCTGGGATTTTAATGGCACGAGACAGTCCTATGTCATCTGCATACCCTAAATCAGGAGAGTCTTCAAACAGGACTATGTGGACATAAATAGCAGAAATAGGTCAGACGAAACAACTTCTTCCTGCCTCCTTGTGGAACACCTGATGTAATGTCTTTCCATGCGCTGCATACAGTCATATGCAAAAATCTGCGCACCCCTAGTCAGATTATGTTTGTTGATTTTCTAAGTGAAAATAAGTATACAACCTCTACAGAGAACACACCTCTGCACATTTAAAAGAACAATTACTGTTTGCTGAATTTAACATAATGTAAACAATTCAAATATGTTAAACTCAGCAAATTAATAGAAATTGTATAAACAAAAAATGGCACATTTAATCTTGTAGGATGTGTTATTTATTCCATGTAGAGGATGTTATTTACACTTAGAAAATCAACAAAACAGTGGGAGTGTTCAAACGTTTGCATACAACTTCTTGAATATGACTCTTCCTATTATATAATTGTGGAGCTGTGCGCTATGGAAGTCCAGAGAGATCATGAGGTTGTTATAATTTTTTTTTCTTGTGATCTCAAGCTGACAAAAGTTGTTTCTCAAAATCACAAATGATTTTTTTCATGATTTCAAGATAACAAAAGTTGTTCTTTCTGTATCACAACTTATTTTTCCTCATGGTCTCAAGATTATCAAGTTATCTTGGGAAAGCAACATTTATTATCTTGAGATCACAAGACAAGTCATAATCTCAGTATAACAGTCCAGAAAATTATAACCACCTCATGGCCTCTCTAATGGGCATTAATTGAGTGTGGCTAGATGCTGCATTAGTTTTGCATGGTCAGCTCAGTCAAAGGTCTTTTACATGTCAATTAGCAAGATCTGAACCACAATTGGCTGGGAAATGTCTGTCGAAAGCCATGTATGAACTACTCATAGGCATCTGTTTCTCTAGAATGGTGCATTTCACATCAAATTACATTAATTTTTACATTTTAATGATTTAATTGTGCAGAAATGTTGACAAATCTATGGAATTCACATTGATTTTGATATTTAACTGTGGTATTGCTGTTTGGTGACAAGCAGTTCAGAGAAACCTCACTTTGGCCTTAGGCTGACTTTGGTGTGTAGCCAAAATCTCTATTAGAGTGGCATTTGTGAAACAGAAATAATCATCAAGCATTTAAGGTATAATCCTCTCATTTGCATATCTGGATATAATGGGTTAGGTTCCAGCTTATAACAAAAATGAGGTGATAATTAATACCCCACAAATCATTTTTACAGAAGTGCTGAGAAAGTGCTTCAATAGAAAATGTGAAATCTGCACTTTGATTTATTTGACAGTATTTAAATTAAAACTTAACCTAAACACTTATTAAATACCAATCTACTAAAGGATCATAATAAGACATTCCAAAGAAACTAACCATTTTTAAAGAATGCTTTTGTGTGTAGGGGGTCTATAAGAATTTCTCAAGGTCTTTTGAGCAGTTTTGCTTCATTTAATTTGTCTTCTATGTTTGATGTGTAAGATCAGGCTGATATTTACTGCCTTTTTATGGCAGAGGTACTTTATTTAAAAGTACATAAGTCGGTCTTGTGAATGTATGAGACAGAGATGCTAGAAAGATGTGCTAGATTAATTAGGAATATGGACCAATGTTGTAAAATGTTTCTTCTGTATGAACCATTGTGGAGGTAATGTAATGCACTGGGTATGTATGGTTGACACTAGAACTGACTCACTTATTTTCTCTGATGATTTAACTGTTCATAATGCCAGTGCAATTAATTCTGAGGTGTGTGGAACATTTTGCCTTTATGAACACAATCAAAACATGTCCTCAGAAGTAATTTCACATCAGGCAGCAGGAAAATCAAATAAAATGCACTGCATGATAACCTGACTATTAAAATTAACCAAGTTGCTTTATCAGGCTTAAAAGAGAAAATGTTGTAATGGCTGTCAAGCTCAAATAAACAACATGTAAAAGAAGTACAGTAATAGTAGTAAAACACTGCTTTTGGATTCTGTTCATTAAAATTTAAAGGCTGCTAGTATTTGGGGTATCTTGAACATAAATAGACTGTAAGTGAACATAATCAAGTGCAAATAAATAAACAGCAGATTTCAAAGGGAACACTGATGACATCTTTTTTTAAGATCTTGAATAGCAAAAACAATAGTACAAAGAACAGGGAAAGTTTGATCAGTTGTTTCATTTTTTATCTTTCATCTTCTAAAGTTTTGAAATGTTCAAAGAAAACTTGTGGTTTTCCTTGAAGCACTTTTTCCTTGAAGCAATTTTTGACAATCTGATTTGAAATTATTTTGTGGGGAAGGACATGTTTTAAATCGAATCATGGTCCACAGTGTGTACACACACCATTTAAAAGTTCATGCAGTCAGAAAAAGATCATCAGTTTAATGTAAATGTAAAACCCTGACAGACTCATTCTGTTGTGTTTCTGAACCTTGCAGGACTGGTGCATCCAAAAACTTTCAAGAGCTCTGAAAAGTCATGC